ATCCTCGGCCTCAACGCGCCCCCCGCCACCCCGCGCCGCGATGACGACCTGCCTGTCTCTCCCGGACACAACGAGAGCGCCGGTAAGTGCCCAAAGCACGGATTCCGACCCGACAATACTTGCTTATCTCACTTACAAAGAAGAAAAGTGACGTCGTAAAACTTATGTGCTTAAATATTAAGAATTAAGAACAATTATTATCGAGGTATTTTATAAGTTACTACTTTATGATCTAAAACATTGTCATCGGCTACATACATATCCCGGCATTCGGGCCTCGAGCCTATTAAAATTTAGGAGTAACTAGGCCTAAATGCTCTAAAATACTATGCCATGTACAAGTGTTATCGTAAATTCTCAAAGAAATCTGTCTTCGCAATTTTCTCTTCTGGTTTTTTAAAAAATGTAGTTTTAAAACCAAACGTACGTAATTTCTATTTTAGTTATGGTGACAATAACACAAATGAGAAGAATTTTTGGCAAGTGATATTTAAAAATCCAATAATTATAAATAAACGTAAATAAACTCATAATTTTAACATTATTCAGTACTTAAATATGTACCTCCCTCACATTAAATAATTTTAATTCTTATATAAGTTATGCGTCTATGTTAAGACACTTTTTAGAAGGAAAATACGGATTCAAATTTTTAGGATTATTCTAATTTTCTGGTTGAGTACCATGTGCAAAATCTAATATTTACTTATTTTGCTCTTATTGTTTTCTCTTAAACAAAAATAATAAAGTAATTGCAGTTCTACATATAATGGTTCAAGTAAGTAGGCGTGCCCGTAGAGCACCGCCCGCCGGCTACGCGCTACGCGGCTGCTACGCAAACTCTATAAAACATCTACGCGCTTCGTACAGGGCTTTTTCTATAACTTGTCTTGAAAACTATTTATAATTGATTTTAAATTTTTAATTTAACATATAATTTCAAATTAATACAATGTAATTTTATTACTCAGATAAAGCAGCAAAAGTTATAGAACTACAACTGCAATAGTGAACAGGCCTAATAAAAAAAAGCTATTTTTACTATCTAAATGTTACAGCTTCGAACCGCCGAACTAAATTGCCCAAACCACTGACCTATTCCGTGTTAAACAAACCTTTTCAATCATTATTAATTAAATACCAGTTAAGTTATTTTATGACTAATTTATCGTTGACTTTAATCTCAAATTAATTAGTATGACGCAAATGTTTTAAATAACATTAATGGCTAAGTTTATTAGAATGTAACTTGTGGCAAAGTTGTGTACTTATCTTAAAATCAACTATAATGTTACAATGTTCGATTCGATTTTGTTTCTAATTGACTTTTAACACGAGAGGTTATAACATTTTCATATATTTAACGTTTAGTTGCCACAAAGGTAATAAAAGAAATTAAATAATTAAAGAAACGGGGATTCAAAAAGATTTTACTAGCGTGTTTTTCTAATAGCAAACTTTGGAACCGCTTCAAATCTGTTTATTCAATGCACAATTTTTGTTTATCGGACAATAAACAACTGCGGACTATGAAGAAGTACTGAATGCAATTCTAGAATATTCCACGTTTATTTTGTAGTAGCTGTTCCCATGCGACTTCTTCCGCATGAAATTATAAAAAAATCGTTTTATTATTTACATTTGTCAAATTATCAATTGCAAATGTCAACATGACATGACATGATGAAAACCATGGCAACCTTGATTCTTTGATGTTGGCAGCAACTTATGGTCTCTTTCCCACATTAGGGTTTGTATCCAAAATATTGACCTCTAAATGTAATGGCGTGAAAATATATAGCCTAAAGCGTAACGGAAGTGTAGGGCTTTTTATTAAAAGAAGGGTTATTCAAAAATATGCTGTAATTGCTGACATCTTAGGTAACAAAGAAGTATGTGTTTACGCTTTATTATAATAGTATAGATTAATCTTCGAATTACTTTTAAACAAACATTACTATTAAATTTAAGTTAGGCCTAATAAGAAATACTTGAATCAGTAGAAATAAAAGTAAAAGACTATAATTTAAAAAGAAAACTTTCGTAAACAATCGTGCGCGTTATAAAAAACAAAATGGCCGCCGCTTTATTGAGTTATCGACAATGAAGTGGCTTACACAACCGGATGCACGCAGCCGCAGCGGCTATCGGATAAATGGATCCAAATGATCTATAGATCATTACTCTGTTGAAATTACACGTAATGTGTTTATCATTTTATTTGTTGCTCTTAATTTTAACATACTCAAGTTTAAGTGTTAACTGTCTATGGAACAAATACATACCTACGTATAATAACCGCAATTTATTACTACTGCAGATAGGGAACTATTTATGAGCATGTTTTAGTCAAGTAAATATTCTTTATTATTCTATGGAATATCCATAGCACTTCCGGCCGAGTGCAGCAACGATTCTTTAACATTGCGCTTCGTAACGTCGCGTCGCCGTCGCCAAAATATTAGTGAAATTTGTAGTTTAAACGTGGCTTTAACATTTAAGACGCTGTCACATATTTAAATTTCACTATTCGCCTATCAATATAATCTTTCTCACTTCATAACACGTTACTCAAAAACATTTTACAAATGATATTAATAATTATGTATAGACTCTAACCTTGCAGTAATCCTAGTTTTGGCAATGAACACTGACGTATATACAGTATCTGGTTTTCTGATTGACTACTTGCCTTGAATAAACAAATGTTTGCTATCAGAACAGATTTAGTTTCGTGTGGGTGTATTGTTATGATAAATTTTAGTTCATGACTGTTAAAAGCTTAGGTCGAATCACAGCTCGGTTACATATCCTCTATAAAATCAGGCAACCAATGTAAACAATATATTTATGTTTTCCCTTAGTATGTAGTAATAGCTTGGTGCTTTTGTTAAATATTTATGAATGTATAATGGAAGAATTAAAATAACAATATTTCAGTTCATTAAAATTAATTTAAGTGGATTTTAAAAATAGAACAGTTTTGTAAATTTCCAGGAAAAATTCAAGTATTGTACGAAACAGACTTATTTTACAATTACTTTAGTGCGTATAAAATAGAACAACAATAAATAAAAAAATTATATAACTAAAGCAATTATAAAAACGTCAACAATGTTACGAAATGTTTAACCGGAGCTAGTATTTAATTTTTCGTCCAATTAACGACAAAAATAAACATAAAACTCGTTGAACACGAAAGTGTAGTGAGCCGAGGTCGTTTGGAGTCGACTGTAATTTGTGTGAAATTATTAATTAAGTTTATCGTGTTATCTGCACTCACAATCACGCCGCTTAGGGTTTGGGCTGCGGCGAGGGTTTTATTACGTGAACATAAAGTTACAAAACTAACAGCTCAATAGTTAAACTAGTTTTAGTATTCTATAAGGAATTTTAGCTATTATTATTGTAAAATAAAGTGCGCGAAATCCAAGATGTAGGCATAAAACCTCTACATGTGCTCAGTTCTATCTGACAATCTTAACTCAACACTCGAAGTGATCAGTTAATACTGTGTGTGTAGGCAATAAGTGTGCTCACAGTTTTTGTCGACACAAGCACAGTATCAACTGAATAGTTCGACACTTTAATTAAAACTGTCAGAATTTAGCGTTTATAGCGAGCTTAAACATACTAAGATGAACTGTACTATATTTTCAGGTTATTTACACTTCCTTACATTTGTACCAAATAACACAATTAGGCCTCAGATCAATGCACTTGTTGGTAAAAGCATGCTTTCTATGAAGTAAGCTTCTAGACATAACTTTTATGTCGTAGCATTATTACCCCAAGGCTTAACTAGAAATGTTTATTTATATTTCATTTGCCAATCAGGATGTAGACTTATTAAAAATACGTAATATAGTTTCTGCCGACAATTCCGTGGCGATCTGTTTAGCGAAATTGATTCATAAAGAAACTAATTTTTACTTTGAAAACACAGACTTAAAATTGTATTAGTTAATACAAAGTATAGTTAGTCACAACCAATAAGTTTACTTTCGTGTTGTACAACAATAAATTGTATTTGCTTAACGCATAAATTCGCATGAACATACCTTTTTCGATACTTGTACAAACATATTTTATTAATGTTGAAAACGTTGACCTCACAGAGTGCGTTCACTTAAATAAATTTAACAGAAATGGACACAATTTATTATGAATTTATTAAATTAATAAAAAAAAATGAAGCAAACTTTCGGCGATCGACCTCCGAACACGGTTGGTGTTAATTGCACAAGTTTAAAATAATCTTTCGTTTCCATAAAGTGCAAGAAACAAGGCACTCACTAATTGCTACAGTGTTGCGCTCGGGTGACCATCACTTGCTACACTTTACAAGATATTCCTGATCACGTAATATGTTTAGTGCTGAATGTAACTGTGACATCTAAATAAGAGAAATCTCGATTCATCAATCATATAATAGATTTTACTAAACGATACAACAAAACTAAGTGTTCATGTCTGTTTAAAATGCTAACAATATGCAATGATTTGATTGTATTCATATTCATACTTAGGGATTATACAAATTTAATAAAATCTAAAATATGCACTTTAACATTTTTAAGACCTCCAATATTCGGAACTAAATCGAGACGAAATAAACTTTGTGGTCACTCTACTTATTCAAAGTCACTCTTTATAATCATTAGCAAAAGTTTTTATCATTTCTGCCGTTCCGCGAGAGCATTAAAATGATCGCGGACTAATAAGCAACGAATCTCAGTTTTTGCGGCGACACCTCGCGGCCGCATTCCGACACTAACCAGTTCCCTGTTTGGTCACTTTTATTAAAACAAAATTACATTTCGCCAATTTGTATTACCTTTCTTTTGGTAGCAAAATAAATTAGTAGTCATTATCATCACTTTTAATTGGAGAAAACATATGATTATAGAATCAGTTCCTTTATAAAATACTAGGTTTTGCCCGCGATTTCATCAACACGGCATTAAAATAAACATTAATTACTCATATTGATCATTGGCAATGTAAGCAGTTGTCTAATAGAGAAAGAACTTATGAAATCGGCTTATAAATAGTATTAAATTTTCACAATATGTAGATGTTTTTACATCTAAATTGCTATCGGCAATAAGAAATACAATATTTGCCTTTTTTAATTAGTAAATTAATTTATACAGTAAATAATTTTAAATGTAGAAAAAAAAACAAGAAAATTAATTAAATCATGACGAACTGGAGAACTGGGACAAAAACTTGCCGCGTCGAATGTTCTCAAAATGTGCAGGCGAGTATTCAATGATTGTCATTATGTAAACAGTAGGGAATCCAGATAGCCTAGTGATTGTACTGCTTGCTTCGGTCGTCGAATGTCCAGGTTCTATCTTATAATTACAAATGTACATAAAACTGAAATAAATTTTATTTTATTTTAACATTAAAATAACTTTTCATTTTTCATTGTGAAGATCAGTACATAAGCTTATTTTAGAATACATTTCGTGTAATTTACCGCTACTTGTGTCATTTCGCTACACACAAATTCAAATAAGTCCTGATAGAGAGATAACATCAATCATCGCATCGCATCGCTGCGGCCAAATAATCGAAAGCTTCATTACTGAACTCGATTACGAGAACTCGATTCTGTGGTCGCGAATCGATTCGCAATCGCCATTAGGGCAGCATTCGATTACCCCGCGCCCCCCGCGCCCCGCTCTCCCCCGCCCCGCGCAGACCGCGCTGACCGACTCTCATTGCCGGGTAGTTCCCCGCCCGCCCGCCTTGCGATGGCGACCAATGATTGCCATCAAGTCAATTATCAGCATAACGTTTGTATGCTTAATTGGTATTTCAATATGTCTGTGTTGTGCATGTCTTCATCATATTCCTTACTATCGTTTTATTCCTAAGGTACTTTTAATTGTTTTCTTTCGTTGTTCTTAAGCTAAGCGGTAAAAATTTTCACTCAAAAAGGTTCAAAATAATCAGTGAATTTAGCGTTCAAGTAATTTGTTATGTTATGTAGACAAAACTCAAAGAATCAGTGTTAGAGTAATTTATTCACTGAAAATTGATATTACAGCGAGATTTGTTTACGAGTTTATTTTATTTTAATTTCTTTAGGTAAATTAATGTTATGCAGGCGGATGACGTAATTGAATTTGTAAAAGCACAATTATTTTAATGAAATCTCAAAAACAAATGAGAATCATTCGCGGCGCAAATTGCTAAATGAACGTTTCGCGGCTCCAATTAACAGCAACAGTTCGCCAAAATGAAATTACGATTAACATAATATCGATTAACTCATTAAAATGTCCGCCCGATACGCCGATACGCCGACACGCCGATACGTCGGGCAAAAACGTGCCCGCCTCAATCAATACCAATTAATACAGAGTATAAACAAAAAATATATTTAATAAAGAGCTTTTTAAAAAATCATTAATGCGCCGCAAATCTGACATGTGATTAGGGTTGCCAGTGAAAAAAGATGGAAAGAGACGAGGCCATTATGCTCGATAATGCCGTGTGTTGCCAGATTATCGATAATTATTACAAAAAGAGAGACGCCGATCATATCACGATAAGTGTAAAACATCTTAATGCGTTCCTACTTCTTATTTGTTTTGTGTCGCCCGTAATCTCCGCTCGCATCTTAATGCCATCGTGCCATCTCAGTCTCACGGCGTTAGTTTGCTAGCGAGAGAGAGAGACGGGGGTACGGTAGCAGCTCTGTTTTGACTTTTGATCTCTCAATCTGTGACAGGGGCAGCGCGGATATTTTGTCACTTGCAAGTTTCTTAATCGTTGTCAAAGTGACAGACGGACAGTTTAGTTTTGTAAATATAAATGTTTTGTATTCATTTATAACATCTCGATACGAGAGCTCACGATGTCATTAGGCGCCGCATTTTAACGTCAATCTTAGAACGTTCGCAGTTTATGCAACAGTTAATGTAATTACGTAACCTTAAGTTTAGACAGGTAATATTTGCTCAATTAAAGGCTTGCTATTGAGTCTATACTCAACAGCGTTTATTATGAATTGTGTGGAGTGACAGTTAAACATACATATTAAACTTCACATCCTTGTTAAACTTACAACTACCAGGTGCTGGGAATAAATTTAGGGATTTTTTTAATCCTTGCAACTCTATGGATATGTCAGACATTAAAGTTTATAATTCACACTTGATACAAGAACCTTATTAATGTAGTCAGAATTAAAAATAAACTGTATTAGAACTTTCTGTTTAGTGACTTTACGAGCGATAAATTAAAAGGTCTGCCTTAACCAGTTCAGTATCTCGGTATGATAGTTTACTTCCTTGATACTTGTTATTATTTCACCAGATATGTATTTTGCAAGTAATTTATATCACTTGAGTTGTAATTAAACGCTACATCGCTTTTGACGCGAGCGTTTAGCGGCTTGTAAATAATAGTCCCGCACGAGTCCGACCCTGGCCTACAGGGATATTTATTGCTAAAGGATACATAGCGCTACTACACGAAACTAGATATTTGTTTTTTACAGATATGTCAGCTTTGTAATACTAAAATAAAAGTGTCAAATCCAACTCAATAGGTTTATGAAGAAAAAAAGAATTAATTCATTCTTTTAGCTGTGTACATTTTAAGGAAGTAAAGAAATTTTAAGAATGATGAATTTGGTAAAAAATGGGTACCTAGAACATCGTAAGATAGTCACAGCTGTGGTCTAGATCCTTAAAGAAGAGCAATAGTCAATACTAGTTTGTAAGAAGCCTAACATTTTGTTGATTTGAATATAATTGCATTAGAATGGGGCGTGCGTTTCCTAAAGCAAACATCGCTGTTTGATTTACCGCACCGAGCAGCCGCGCTCACTG